ATCCAACTCCGAATGCGAATCAACTGAAGACGCTTTAAAACGGTAGGAGTAATTTAAAAGTGTCTTATACTTCTAACTACCAATAGGTCGGCTACAATAAAGTCTAATAGTTACTGCCAAAGCTGTGCGCCCATAGGGCACAAAAATCTGTCACTTACATAAGCAGCAAAAACAGCACAATTCAATCTACGTCTCACACGTCTTGTCTGACGATGAACCAAGAACTTCAAAACTAAAACTATGGGTCCAACGGAAGCATGGTGAGACAAGCTTCCGATGGAAGAACTGTCCTCAGACGGAATGAGTTCGCCAAATTTTCGAAAATTTTTGCTAATCAAACTTCAGAAAGTTGTGATTATTTCTTAGTATAAAATGTACTCTTTTCTCGATCTGCAAAACGGTGGTATAACGGCAGTGAGCGAACTTAAGCATTCAGGATTTAACATACCAGAGCCCTTGGAGTTAGACATATCCGTTTGGAGGACGTCAGGTGAGGAAGCCAGTGATCTAGGCATGAGAGGAGGCGTTGAAAAAACGTCCTTTGCGTGAACCGGCTTTACGGGGCCCGAAGATCGACCCTGTTTAGCCCGGCGCAGTTGACGTACACCACGAACAGATGGCATCGTAGAGTAGAGTCTTGAAGCTTATGGGACGAAGATGAAAAAAAATACAATGGGACAAATTGTCGGATTTTTGGTATTCTCCAAACGACTTACGCAGAAAACATCGCAGTTTTAGGTCAACAAACGGATTATTCAAATAAACGAATATTTGCGCGCGAGAATTAAATTGGCCCAATGGTGCCCAATTGGACACAATCTTTGACTCAATATCATCTCAATATAATCTCTATGAAGTTGGCCTTTTCGATCATAATATCACATCCGGGTACTAATCAGGATCACATTTAAGTAAATACGCGCAATGACAGAATGCATGGAATGTTTGTGGCGGTGGGTCCATTATTCCTTCTCCCCCCTTCGTTCTGAAATGCGCTTTCCTTCAGAAAGAAATACGTAAGCGAGGTTGCAACCTTGATTATCCTGCCGAATAATCGCAAGATATTAGGGACAAGCCAAGATGTCCTTGTACTTGTACTTGTTACGGCTGCGAGCGTGACTGATCTAGCCGGCCTCAATTATGTCCCGTACGGTGCTTCTCCACGCGC